CGCCATCTAGCGGCTACAGTAAAACTATGCCCATGGTTCGTTTTGTCGTACCAAAAAGCCCTTTTATACCAATGTTCACTGTTATACATCAAATATTGTTCGAAATATTTTAAAAAAACTATTTTAGAAAGTACATTTAAACACGCTGTATTTCGGAAGACACGCATTTTTCGACCCATGTTTATATAGACTTTATGCATTAATTTTGAAAGTTCTATCGAATCTTAAAGTTATGCAACAATAAACTGAAACACCCTGTATTTCGAAGTTGAGTCATTTATTTTAACAGTGAGTAGATCTGATCAAAAGAAATGTTTTTTCCTTTACCATTTTCCTGGTAAAATTAAAGTAACAAAGTTATAGCCCTTTGGAAGTTTGAGTACCGCCCTGTCTCAATAATAATATTATGTGGTCGTGTTTGGCGACAACGGATATAATCCGCCGTATCGGTTCATCGCATCGGAAACAAAAAAGCGAAAGAATTTGGAACGATGCTTTTTACAATTATTTCATTCATTTGTATACAGTCAGTGTCAGTGAATAGTGGTATCTGTTGCGTGGCTCAAACGAAATAAAAAATGGCACATGTTTATGCGGATCGGTTTCCCAATCGAGTGCAACCAACCCCTCGTGCCTTTGTTAATGTAGTACAACGGGCTCGTGAATCAGGTGACTTAAGACCTCACAGGGGACCTCACGATCAAATACAGGTCCGCACTGAAATACTTGTCGGGAGGATACTTTATAAAACAAGGTAAATTTTTTTTTTATTTTTACACACATATTTTGGTTTATCTTCCTTCTACAATCATTATCTGAAAATTAATGACTCAACTTCAAAGTCACCCCTATATATATATCCCTTAACAGGAAACGTGAATTTTTGGAACACAAAAGGAAACATGCCGTCTCTCAGACTGCGAACTTCAAGATGTTCAAAAAATTAGAGTAAGGCGAAAAACAAGCAATAACTTCGCTGAAACTGATACTGGATGTTTATTTTATGTGTTTAATACGTAAAATGCTCATTTCAAAATGATACAAGAACATAAAAGAAACATTTTTATTAACTATGCTAAAACCATACAAAAATAACGCTGTTGTTGCAACATTCAGAAACTAAATTAAAACTATGGAAAAGTCTCAATATTTTTCTATTTTCTAGTTAAGTAATGAACAAGGAAAGTATATTATAGTCAATAAATACAAAAAGAACACAATCAAAATTCACTGCAAGTCTCAAACATTGCCTATATTTATGCAGCTAATACATTTGGGTTTGGAGCATTGAAGACATACAGGCTTCCTACATTGTACACACAAAAATTTGGTCATCCGATGGGTCGTTCGGTGACATAAAAAGCAGGCTTTCCTTTTTTCCAAAACCAAATTTTCAGCTTCTGTTGCTGGATGTTCACATTTGCCAAGGATGCGATTTATCGTAAGTCGCAAATCCCGAGGTAAACGGGGACTCTCTAGTCGCTTTTCCATATGCTCACGGACCAGGTTAGCGGCCAACATCTTAGCAAATACCGATTTTTCCTTCTGCAATTCATTTTTCTTATAGCACTGGTGTAAAATATACGAATTCACTACCGATATATCCAATAGTCGGTAGAAAATAACCAGTGGCCACCTACGCGAACGGCGACTTGAGGTACTCTTCGAACATTGTTCATCAAGAGAATCAACTCCACCTTTATTAGCATTGTAATAGGCTATTATTTCCGGTTTCTGTGTTTCCGGATCACAATATTTTCTGTGGTGCATAGAAGATATGAGTATTGTGGCTTTATTTTTTTTGCTTACATGAGACACAATAGTGGAATCTTCTCGAAATCCGTACATTGTTGATCCGACTTCTCTTGATTTGTTGGGTAAAAATGCCGGAGGAATTTCTCTTTTATTTTTCTTCATTGTACCCACATAGGTCGGTTTGTTCTTCAATAGGACATCCATTAATTCTATTGACGTAAACCAGTTGTCCGCTGTAATGTTGCGATTAGTTCCAAACAGAGGCTTCGCGAGACGTAGAACTGATTGTGTGGGTTTGGAATACCGCTTGTGTTCCTCAGGAAGTTCGAAACTATCGGAATCTTTACCGCAGTATATATATGCGTTATAGAGGTAGCTATTCCTTGCATCCGTCAATGCCATAATTTTTATGCCATATTTGCAAGGTTTCGCAGGCATATACATTTTAAATCGACATCTTCCTCTGAAACTCACGAGCATTTCATCGACAGTGACAGACTGGCCAACTCCGTACACATCTTGACAGTTCTTTATAAAACTATTAAAAATGAAAGATATTGGTGCTACTGGATCTAGCTTCTTTCTTTCATTCCTGTCATCTGGGTTATCAAACCTTAAGGCTGACAGGAGAATACCAAATCGTTTTATGTTCATGACAGCTCTGAATATATCTCTTCCAGAGCCATCGGTGGCAAAAAGTGTTTCAATGTTCTCGTGGTTGCTGTTGAACACCGATGTATATACTAAGAGACCCAATAGTGCCTTTATTTCGACTAAATCAGTGTCGTTTAGGTTGCTGGTTTGATTTTTGTATCTCTTTCGCATTTCTTTGAGCTTGTGATTGGTCCACTTAACGATATGTACCAACATGTCGTCAGTGAACAAAAGCTGCCAAACCGTCAACGGAGCTGCTTCTTCTCCATATTCATGAGCTTTTCCTCTTAGAGTTGGTACTTTAATGACTATATTGTGCTTCCTTGTACGTGATGATGGTACAACTTCCGAAATATTCCACCTATGACGATTTTTTCCATAGAAATAATTCTGAGCTGGTAAATCCTCTTCATTTCCTTCGGCTCCGTCTTCTGATAACTCACTATCACTTGTATGATCTGATTCCATGTATTCGTCTTCTGAGGCACTGTCTATATCACTAAAGTCACTTCCTTCATCCTCAAACCATTTTAGAACGGTTTCTTCGAACTCCGGATCATCGTATCGTACACGTTTAGAAGGTCCCGCCATACTCGCAAACGCACCTATGCAACACAAATAGCAAACGGGAACGGAAACGTGCCGTCTGACAGACTGCAACAAACTAAAATTGGTCCATATTTTAAGGCACGTTTTGGTTAGACTCGTGTGAATGGGGGTGGGCGATGGTCACTAATAGCTTATGGATTAGATGGGTTTTTACGTCTGTTAGAGGTGCAATAAAAAAAGATACGCTGAGGTATAGAAACGCCGCAGTCTCACAGACGGCACCTTTCCGGTTAAGGGTTTAATATACAGGGTGTCCGCAAAGTTGGGGTTTTCCTTTACACGGCGTGTAGATCTTGAAAACATAAGCAATTTTTCTTTGTACCATATACACCAATGTCTTAAGGGAACCGAGATAAAGGGCTCTGCAACATCAAAAATATCTGAATACCGTCCTGTAGCCGTGACATCCCCGCGTGGTACTAGGACACTAGCTCAACCCAACGACAGAACTGGGTCGGGGTCAGTGTGTCAGGTCAGTGTGCAACCTTCAACCGACGGTTACGGTCACGCGTGTAGAGGTAAACGAACCCGTATAATCGATTGCGTTTCAAAAAACAACAAGCACTAGAGACGTGGCTAGAGAAGTGCAAGTATCAAAAACTAAAGTGTGGCAAACGCTGCGTGAATATGGGCTGTATCCGTTTCACGTCCAACGTGTTCAAGCCCTTCAACCTGACGATTTTCCAGCAAGAGTGCGGTTTTGTGAGTGGTTGTTGCATCAACATGACAATAATCCGGACTTTTTGAAGTGCATATTGGTGACAGACGAATCTACGTTCACGCGTAATGAGGTGAATAACTTTCGCAACACTCATGTTTGGTCAGTAGAAAATCCGCACGCTGTCCGTCGGGCACATTTTCAATGTTTGGGCTGGCATGGTGCGTCTGCTCGGTAGCGCATCAGCTGATTTCATTTTCTGTTGGAGCGGTATGATTTCGGGCAGAGACGTACTTAGCCCTTCTCGTCAACTGGAGAGTGAGTACTTCTTCCTTTATTTTTTTTTACTTGGTCGCCCTCGTTTCACTACACATTACCTTTGTTATTTCAAGGGTAGTTGTTTCTGAAAAGGAAAACCCCAACTTTGCGGACACCCTGTATATATATATATATTTATCCACCCTATATATACATATATATATATATAGGGTGGCCCATTCATGTGTGGACGGAATATTACTCTTAAACAAATACATTTTGGGAAAATCTATTCATGGGATGTTATAGATGACATTTGAGGGCACATTTATAAAATGTTGGCCATTATACAGGCGGGTCTCCCAATTTCGACCTACATATCAAAGTTGTGATTTTTCAAATGGAACGCCTCAAATTTTATTTCATATTTGGATAAACCAATTCAAACAAAGAAAATGGACATGACATACTATGGGGTTTTGGTAATTAGCTACTGAGATAAGGTGTTTTGTCTAGAAAAACCCCCCACTTCGTCAACCTGTCAGTTCGACATTTTGAAATTTGGAGTGCTGAATTCTGTATCAAAATAAACTTACGCACCTCAGATTTTATCTTATTTGTTACTATTTCGAATTTTAATTTTTGCTCATACAAGGTGGTCAAAAACGCAAATTGTAGTTTTCCTCAAAAATTTTAAATGCATCATTCTGTATATTTGTGCAAGTCTGGATTCAATTTTTTCTAAGGTTATTTTTGATACTAGACACATAACGGTTTTTATGGCTATTTTCTGTTAGCACGTCTTTTATGGAACTCTGCTTAATTTCCCATAATATCACATCATCCTAGGAAACAAATAAATTGTTGGGGAGTTCGGTCCTGACCAAAATCGAATTGGTTGATACCGAGTGAATCTCTACATTTTTGACTAACAAACTAGTTAATAAATCATCAATAATTCCTGCAAGAGTACCAGTGCATAAGTGTGAGCCATTAAGAACATATTGAGAGTAAATACTCTACGTTTATGCGATAAATAAGATCAGAATCTGAAATAATTACTTACCATATCTCCGGCGTGCGCTAGCACAGGTAATCCCAAACAAAACAAATATTTTCGGATAAGCATGACCGTATCGAGAAATGATACGGCATCTGCCTGGAGTTTATTTCACTATACCATAATGTCATCTGTTAATAACCAAAACTCATCTGAAAGCAACACAACAGCTCAGTCCTACTCAAACGTACTTACTCAAAACACAGTCAAGTATTCAAACAAGGATCAAGCGATTATATTTAATTCTTCTGATGGAGCTAAGCTACAAGACTACCTACTTAAGCTTGGTCCAATCGTCAACCCGAAAAATATATTGTTCTGTACCAGAATTTCTAAAAACAGAATATGTATATATTTAGCAACTAAACATTTAGTAGACACCTCTTTAGAGAATCATGGACAAATAGAAGTAAATGGTGAGATCTTGAGAGGACGCAGATTAGTTTCTCCCTCAGACCGTCTAGTGATATCAAATATGAGTCCTCCAGTTCCTCACTCAGTTCTTAATGAAAACCTACTGCAACTAGGTCTGAAACTCGTATCGCCAATTTCATTCTTGAGAATAGGTGCTCCACTTCCAGAGTGCAGTCATATTCTGAGCTTTCGGTTTATATAGAACTCAACCAACAGTCCCTAAATATCCCAGACTCCATTGAAATAACTCATGAAAACCTAGCCTACCGCATTTTTCTATCGCTAGATAGTCAAAAGTGTTTCAAATGCGGCAAACAAGGTCATATAGCTTCCCAGTGTCCACTACCCTCCCAGCAACGACAAACAAATCCACATGAGACCCAATCTACCAAAGAACCTGAATCAACAAGCACACACCACACAAGCAATCAACAAATAATAGCAACAGAGACCCAAGAAACAGCACTATCTCAACATATACCTAACCCGCGTGAAGCAGATGTAGATCTACCACATACTAGCCAATCAGTAATCGACAAAAGTGCAAAAGTCCAATCCCCACCAGAAAAACGCAAGAGCTGATACCAGAAATACAAAATTACACCCAACAAAACAAACCGGATCAACAAAATAGAGTTATACCACACACTTCAACAGGCAGTAAATATATAGCTACTCACAACAACCCATCCCCAAAACGCTACTTCTCAGAAACAATCTCACAGACAACTCCCACGCATGAAAATTCAACCCCTCCTACATTTGCAGTTCCCAAAAATATTAAATCAAAGAAACATAAAACAGATATGCAGTCATCCTACATCTCCCAAGACGCTCTAGCAACTGCCAAAACATTCATAGACAACCAGATGCCTGCCCTTCCCTTGAATAGTGACCAGTTTAAAAGCCTTCTCGAGAACAGTCATGGAACACAAGACATCACAAATATAATTAAAGATTATACGGATGACATTAAAGGACTTATAGAAATGATACTATTAGTATACCCCCACATAACCGATAAAACAGTCAAAAACAGATGCACAAGACTCCGTAAAAAGCTAGAACGCTACATTGACAACAACACTAACGAATGCCTTAGTGATACCTCCTCCATAGATTCAACTTTCTAATTACCTGAAAATCGTAATGCACATTGGACTAACTTCTTTGTTGCAGTGGAACCTCAATGGGTACTACAGTCATCTGAACATGTTACAGAAACTCATATCAGATCAAAATCCAGACATAATCTGCTTACAGGAAACTCGCTTCACTGATACCAACACACACTCACCAAAAGACTACAAGGGAGTCTTTAAGAACCGTAATTATACTTCCAATCAAATAGCTAGCGGTGGCACTGCTATATATATTAAAAGTAATATAGTAGCGAAACCTATAAGTCTAAATACACAGATAGAGGCAGTTGCTATCACAATAGAAGTCCCTCAAAAGATCAGCATCTGCAACATATATATACCACCGAACTATCAATTAGACATTAATGAACTAGAAATGCTACTCCAACAGATACCCTCTCCACGACTCATCATGGGAGACTTTAACGCCCACCACCTTGTTTGGGGTCCAAAAGAAACAATGCTCGAGGAATAATAGTAAAGGACTTACTAGATACAACTGATCTTAATATAATGAATGATGGTACAGAGACAAGGCTTGATCTTGGAAACGGAACATTCTCAGCAATAGACCTAACTTTAACCTCAACAAACCTGATAACCTCACTGCACTGGCAAGTACTAGATGACCTTTATGGAAGTGACCACTTTCCTATCAGAATATCTAATACGGAAGTCCAAAACAGAACTACACCATTCGAAAGGTGGAATTTGAATAAAGCCGACTGGATGAAATTATCGGACTACATAGAACGACACATCCAAGAACTTCAAATAGTTAGCGACATTAACCAAAGTGTATACAATTTCAACAATATCATCTTGAACGCAGCACATAATCACATCGGTAAAACCAAACCAATGATAAACAAAAACTCAGTTTCATGGTGGAACAAAGAGTGCGGCGCAGCAATCACAGCAACCAAGAAAGCATTAAATAAATACAAAAGACAAAGAACTACTGACAACCTGATAGATTTAAAGCGAAAGAGGTCACGTGCAAAACTAATAACAAAGAAAAGTCAAAAGGATTCTTGGAAAAAGTTTGTAAGCAGTATAAATAGTTCAACACCATTAGCAACAGTCTGGAAGAAGATCAAAAGCATAACCGGAACCAAGTCATACTCACCTATAAAATGCTTGAAGGATGGAAACACAACACATACAACGACTGAAGCAATAGTTGAAGTATTTAGTGAAACTTACCTCAAAAGTTCCAGCAACCAAAATTACAGCGATGAATTTCGAAAACACAAAACAGAGCTAGAATCAATACCAATATCAATACAGAACAACCAAGACCCAGTGAATATAACAATCTCCGAACACGAAATGGAAGAAGCCCTTAACGACTTGAAAGAAACTACTGCAGGGCCTGACGACATACCTACTATCTTTCTGAAAAATCTTCCTCAAGTAGCTAAACAACATTTACTAAGAATCTTCAACAAAATCTGGACAGAGAATATGTTTCCTGATATATGGCGCCAAGCATTAACGATACCGATACTAAAACCAACCAAATCATCTCTTGTGTCTGAATCTTATAGACCAATAAGTTTAACATGCGCTATGTGCAAGCTATTAGAAAAAATCATCAATAAAAGGCTAAATAAGTCGAATCTACTAGCTAAGGAGCAGTCCGGTTTTAGACAGAACAGATCCACCATAGACAATGCAGTAGACCTGGAAACATACATACATATATGAATCTTTCGAGAACAAACAGCATTGCTTTGCGGTATATTTTGATATGACTAAAGCATTTGACACTATTTTTAGACATGATATCATCTTAAAATTACACGGATGGGGTTATGATGGAAATATCGTTGCTTTTATATCCAATTTTCTGAGCAATAGGAGTTTTCAAGTCCGTTCGAATGGAGTTCTATCCAAACCCAAACTACAAAAAATGGCATCCCGCAAGGATCAATAATCAGCCCGACATTGTTCTTAATCGCTGTCAACGACATTCTTAGTTACATTGAAAAACCAGTTCAAGCACGTCTTTATGCGGATGATATGATAGTGTATATAAGAGGAAAAAACCCAACAACCAATAGAGAACTCATACAAAAAACAATTCACAAATTGGAACAATGCACAAAACACTCCGGGTTATCATTTTCACCTGAAAAGACAAAATATATTATATTCTCAAGAAGACAGATAATCCAACTCAGAGTACCACTAACACTTCATAACATATCCTTAGAGCAAACAAAAGAAATCAAATTTCTGGGACTCGTATTCGATCATCGATTGACCTGGAAAAAACACATAGAGTACCTAGTTACAAAATGTGAAAAAAGAATGACAGTATTAAAATACTTATCCAACAGACACTGGGGAGCTGAAGGCAAATCCTTGCTCTACCTATACCGATCACTGATAAGATCCAAAATAGACTATGGTTGCATAACCTACGGCTCAGCTAGCCGTTCAACTCTAAAACCTTTGGATAGCATACACCACAGAGCACTTCGCTTAGTACTTGGAGCATTTAGAACAACACCAGTCCAAAGCTTATATTGTGAAGCCGGCGAACTATCACTGAATGACAGAAGGCAGAAGGCATATTAAGCTTAACATATGCCACTAAAATAGCATCAAATCCAAGTATCCCTGGTCACAAGTACATAGGACAGATTAATAGAGGAATCCAGCTGGGCCTTTCCAATGCAACACAGAAAAAACCGTTTTACAGAAGAATCTCTGAGTACTTGAGAAAATTAAATATCGCACAAATTCTTGCAACTACCATCAGACCTAGTGAAGACATTGCTCCTTGGACAATGCAGAGGCCAAGCATCAACAAAGCTCTCACAAGAATGAGTAAAACAGACCCGCCAGCACCAGTAATAGTACAAAATTTCCAGGAAATAGTCAACAAATACCAAGACCATGAGAAAATATACACAGATGCATCAAAACTTGACAATAGAGTAGGAACAGCTGTTGTGACATCCACTACTACCATTAAAATGAAATTACCAGACGAAGCAACAATTCTAACAGGAGAATTGTATGGAATATTAGAAGCTATGAAACACGTACAGAATCAGAACATCCAACGAAGACTCATAATAACTGACTCTCTAAGCTCGCTCCAGCTTATTGAGCAGATATATACGAAAAACCACCTGGTACACCAAATTACGCAGATTCTCCACTCATTACAAGCAGACAACCACGATGTTGTATTCGTATGGGCTCCTTCTCACGTTGGTATCCAAGGCAACGAAAAAGCAGACCATCAAGCTAAACTAGTAGCAAACTTGGATCACACATCAACCATAAACATCCCAGATACAGATATAAAATCTCACCTTAAACAAAGAGCTATTCAAACCTGGAATACCAACTGGCAGAACAACGCATCAAAGCTGTTTGAACTGAAACCTAGATTCGGACCATGGACAACACACACAACAAACAGAAAACACCAAACAATCATCACACGACTCCGTTTAGGTCACACCCGGATCACCCATGTACATCTCATCACGCGGGAACCAGAACCCATGTGCGAAGTGTGTGAAACCCCTCTCAGTGTCAAACACATATTAGTGCAGTGCCCTTTGTTAGAGCACTATAGAGTGGAATGTAACCTCACATCATCAACCATGTGTGATATTTTAGTACCAAATAGCAACATAAGCAATCTATTACGTTTTCTACAGCAAACTAATGTATTATATAAAATATAGCATGTAAGCCTTTAGGTCGAAGCGGG